TCTAATTGCTTCAATCCAAAATATAGGAAAGTAAACCAAGTCCCCAAACTTCCCCCAAAGCTATTGACCACAACATCTCCTGAGCATATCAACCCATGCAAATGAATGCCCATATGGGTCACAACCCACCATACAGCCAAACCTACACAGGTGGGTGCTTTAAAGAAACAAATTCCTAAGACCCATCCCTAAAAATTCAGATTCATTAGGATTGGAAGTCAGCCAACCTCCCATATCTCCAACATGAGTCCCAGTTTAGGCAGCAGGATCACCTGCATACTTACAGCCAAGGGTAACTTTCTGGGAGGTAAAGCTTTACAAGTCTCTCACCCTTGTGGTTCTAATATCCAGAGTAGTTACCGAGCATCAGCACAACTGCCACGCATCAACACTCAATCCAGGTATACAATTACTTTAAACTTTCATAAGCCACATCCATGATTGTAGGCACGGAAGAGAAACCGAAAGCAAGTTTGCTCACAGCTCTTCTGGATTCAGAAACCTGAGTCTTTATGGGAACATCTATAAGGAAGAGAGGACGCACTCACATGAGCACTCCAATTAATACCCTAAAGAAACACTTAAATCACCATTTTTCCCATTTGTGACTGTAAATTTCCAAAGACATCAAAAGTTCTCATAGTGGATTTCAAAGTCCTTCAGGAGCTGAACAGAGGATCCCTCACACTTCTCCCAGGATCATCTTCTTGCCTATCTTCTCTTTGTGCCCACACAAGTCTCTACTTTTTATCTCCCACATCAGACTTGTTTCTCAGTTTTTACTCACTCTTTAAGCTTCACCCGCTTCTCTAAGTCCTCTAATTAAGCAGTGCCTGGTCTAGGTGTATCACTCACCCCCACATGGCCTGCGAGACTCCCTACACTGCTACCAGAAATACCTGAGTACGCTTGCACAGGCTTGTAGGCACAGAACCAGACACAGCTGGTCAGTCTTCATAGTGCTTTCCTTTAAAATATAAAATCATCAAGTGCAGATCCTAAATCATTATTGCAAAGTGCATTTCTGGAACATGAAAAGCTAACTTGCGTTCCCAATATATATTTCACCAGTACACTGTGACAATGTTCTCTTGATACTTCATGTGCACCCCAGAGTTCAAGTTCTCCACTAAGAAAAAAAGAGTAAATACAGATCTACTCCTCAGTACATTTTCAGCTCTACTCCTTATCCATTTAATTTACACTCAACTCCAAAAAGTGGGAAATAGTCACTGAGTTAACTAGACACTCACCTAAGTGGGCAGGAAGAGGTGAGTAAGGGGGAAACCAGAAGTCTGGCTTTGAAATATCTCTGTAGTACTCCCTCATCCTGGGAGCATGCAAACCAGAATAACTAGATCTCAAGCTATACAGCCTACCAGGTAGGATGCAAAGCAAATCCCAACATTAGGAAAACAAAATTGAACAAAATGAAACTTGCCTTGAAAGCACTAGCCATACTGAGATCACAGTTAAGTTTAAAGAGTATAAGCCTCCTCCCAAAACACCAGTTGCTATGCTTAAATAAAGGTGGGAAGAGGACCCTAGGGGTTTTTTCTGATTTTGTTTTTGTCCATTACTTTCAGTATAACAAAACAACATATATAGAAACCAAAAGAAAAAAATCAGTTAAAATCTCATCACAGCAGATGAAATAACTTTCACATTTCTATAGGGAACCAATGTACACATTATAGATACATTGTAGGCAAAGACCACAGTCCCAAAGGATTCAAGGGTAAAACCTGTTTACATTAAGAACTTGCTTCCAAAAATGAGTTGCAATTATATAACACACAGAGAACGGTCTTTTTTTTAATGGTTTTTATATTTATTCATATGTGTATACATTGTTTGGGCCACCTCTCCCCATCCCCCCCCCCAAATGAGTGGAGGTAAGAATCATTCCTCAAGCTACTAGTGTCCTTTACAAAATGGAATCTTCTCTAATGTCTGACCTCATGAATAGCTTAACTGGCAAACCATAGGATACAGGGTGCCTGTAACATCTGAAGAAATACAATGTGCTTAATACAAAGCACAAAGAAGAGACAAGAATCCTAGCGCCCCCCCCCCACCCCCACCCCCAGCAGTAAGAAGATATGGGAGACTGACAAACCAGGGGAATAAAGGCACTTATATAGCCACTCTGAAATTCACCCAGATGTGGGGCTCACTGCCTAAACTTGATATACATCTGGTAATAATAAACACTGATAAGTCACAAACAAAAAGGGCTTTCAAGCTACTGGTAATATTAAAATCTACATAACACAATCAGAATATACATGAAATATTTTTATATGGTATTTTAATATAAGGTACTAAGAAATTTAAAACTGTTCAGTATTTTACTGCCTAGTCTTCAAAACACTAAAATTTCTGATTCAACCAAGTTACAAATCTGTTTTCAGTGGAGAGGGAAAACACATCACCTCTGTTAAATGCAAAGGACAAAAAAGATCATCACTGCAAATCATAATGTTTGGGTTCATGATGAAAACAGGAAACAGGCTGCTCAGGTATAATTATGGTTGTAGTCTAATGTGCCTTCAGGTTCAGTCAAGAATTAAAACCCAGTGAAGAGGGTAAGCAGAATTTACTTGCCTCTCTACCTTGCTACAGAATGCAACTTTTAATAATACTCTCAGCAACATGTTACATAACCAACAGTAAACAACAATCTGATTCAAACCTCATTAGCAACAACATTCTGCCACTGTCTCCCACTGAAATTAATAGCTGACTTTGCCAGAGGGTAAAGTAACCCAACACATATCAATCTACCATTTCTGTGGCGCCTACCACAGTGAACCAGACAGCAGATAATTCTATGAGATCTGTACAAAACCTCCAAAAATATTTTACCTTTTTTTCCAGTTCCCTGCTCTCTTTCTTCTATTAAGTAGATCATATTATATGGATGCATTAAAAACTTAATAGGAGAGTTGGAGGGTGGCTCAAGTTGTACAGCACTTGCCTAGCAAACATGAGGTCCTAGCATCCACAGGGCAGGGAGCTATGTATAATTCCCAACACTGTAAAAAAAAAAAAAACCTCAAGAGGCAAGTCAATTGAGATGGTTCATCTAACTTTACTGCCTATTTCAGCTATGATCTGAAAGGCATGGAAGGACCAAATGACGAATGGGTATTTGTAACAAAGACATGTAGGAGCTACATGATAACCAGTGGTTATGTAAAAGGACTGAATGACCAAGAAGCAACCACGGGGAGACGGCAGGTGTAAGGATGACCATGCAGATAATCACACACAAAAATTAAATTTAAAAAATCTAAACACAAGATGGACAATCTTTATGAAGGGTAGATCTTGCTAAATAGCCATTTTTGAGTTGTTTTGTATTTTTATAATTTCACGGTTCATGAAGAGGGGGAAAAAGTTACCAAAGGTATAAAAGGAAGAATATAATTTGTTACAGGATCTTACTTACAGGAGCTTAATAATATTCACATCGGTGTGAACTGACACACTGAGTTGTAGGTACTGTTCCACATGACACCACCGCACTGGCATCTAGCCAAAATATTAAAGTATTTGGACTGTTACCAAATTTACTGAGACTAAAGTTTTCAATCTTTCAAGTTAATTAAAACTTTATTCACTTAGTAGTAATTCAGATACTCTAAGAAAATTCAAGTACTATAGTTAAAAAAAAAAACAAAAAACTGTACCCTTTTCTCTTAACTTCTGAGGCCAAGCAACAACCTCCACCTACCCAGTCTTTGTTGCTAGATAAGGACACTTTGGGTAGTGCTAGGCAACAGGCACGATGTGACAAACCGAACCAGACTTCAAAACTTATTCCACAAAAAGATAAGGTAAACAAGATATACTTTGCACCACACCCATTTAAATGCAAAAGCAGCCGGGAACGCTCTCCCCTCCCCCGCATCCAGGCCTCCAGCTGGTCAGGAAACATTGTCTTTACAATTCAGATAAAGATCTGGCCTAGGGTGTTCAGCCATTCCTCACTTCCAAGTTGGCCTAGACTCTATTCTCCAAAGGCATCAAAACCAGAATCGCGGAACATTTGGTTAGGAAGTAGGCAAACCTCAAACACCCGGACTATTCTGGCCCCAGCTCTTTTTTGCAACCAAAATGTTTTGGCTACTGAGCATGCTCCGACTTAAGACAGGCGCCACATGGGACTTTTGAAAGCTTAGGCTCCAAACTCCACGAACTAACAGCAGCTGAAAAAGGAAGCGAAGAAAAGGGGGAGGAGGGGGGGAGAGCCCGGAATATGAATTTGACTACTAATATTGAAGTGAAGGCAAAGAGACACTGCTTGAGTATTCTCCTTTGCAGCGTACGCCAAGTTTACAAATAAAAGAAATCTTTGCAATGCTCAAACACTGATTAGGCAAGTGGTGGAAACCAGATCTAAGTTAGCAGCTGAGTGCAGGAACAGGTCACCACTACTCAGAGTGTAATTCCCACCGATAAGCGTGGATCCTTATCTTGGAAACACAAAGCGACGGCGGCACGGATTCGTCAGGCAATTGGACAGCTTCGCGGTGCAGCAGACCAAGCTGTTCGGCCGAGCCCCACAATCCTACCAGGGGTGTGCATCGAGGGTGGTGCTTAGAGGCAACAGGGGTAGCAATCTGCTCCTCAGGACAGAAGCCGCACGGAGGGAGCACCTCTAGGTCGTGCCCAGTGCCTGCCTCCACCGTTCGGGCGGGACTGGTGGGACTGGGACGAAGGCCAACACCGGCCCTGCCTCTGGACGCCTGGGCCGCAAACGTGGCCTGGACAGCCGGGTCGGGCCACTCCATCCCGGTCGCCTGGACCGGGCAGGCCAGGGCCTGGCCTACCTCCCGCCCGCAGCCCCCGACTGCTTCCGCCCCGCCCGCAACCCAACGCCCCCGCCACGGCCCGAGTCCCGCGCTAGGACCCGAAGACTAGCCGCGTCCGGGCCGAGCTGCAGCCTCCCGGCCCTGCTAACTTACTCGCCCCTGAGTCCCTCACTCACTCACCCGCCGGCTGGGAGCGCTCTCCCCGCGCCGCCGCTGCGCTTCCCCGCGCTGCAACTTTATTAGCAGCTCGGCCGCGGGACACGCGCACGGCGCCCGCTCGCCAGGACCCGGATGACGGAGGGAGGGAGGGAGGAGGGAGGGAGCCTGGAAAGACGCCCCGATGGCGGGGGGGGGGGGGGAAAGGGGGTCTGCGCATGCGCACTAGGCCCGAGTGTCAGCCCTGGTGAATCCAGTGTTGCCTGGCCGCGGCGGCCGGAGGAAGCCTCCGCGTTTGGCTCTGCGCCCGCAAACCCGACTTCCGATCCTCCCGAGGCTTCTTGCCCCTGTGAGCAGGCCTGCGCGTGGGAGTGAGCTACAGGCACTGAGCAAAGGAACCCAGATAGTATTAGAGCAATTGTCCTTGACACGAACCATTGCAGGTTCCATGTCATAAAGTGTACCCGAAGACCTCTTGGATACCAGTTTGCTACTTTATTTGTCATTTGAATCCGAATGATTTGAAACACAAAGAGAGGCTTATTTTTGTGCAAAAATAGCTCCAAATCTACTTTCTGGACTTCTTACAGCTTCCTAACCAGATGCATCCATGAAATCCCCTCCGGGAGGAAAATCTTAGAGCCCTTGCAGATCTGTGCAAATGGAGGGAGTGCCCGACTCTGGAGGTCCGCGAGAGGACCGTGCAACCTCTAGGGCACACACCCAGTGGTTCAGCTGCACACCCTCTGCACCTCCTGGGAAGAGGGAGATCCGTGGGTCCTCAGGCTTGGACAGATGGGGCCACTGAGCCACGGAGAGGCCATCCACAAGCTATAGCCTTCACTCTTCTCTTAGTAACTGAGGCTTTTCTCCTCCAAATTCCCAAAAGTGTCGGCATTTCCCCAAATCTGACACTGTTACTACCTGGGGCACCTGGTTTGGACAACACTAGCTAAGAAAAGCTTTTAAATATTTGTGTTTTTATCTTAATCAATTCTGATTTTCCACTGTTCCACTCTAGGTTTTTTTTCTTTAATAAGTAAAAATCAGAATTGGGATTTTTTTTTTTTTTTTTTTTTTTTTTGCCGGTAGTGGAGTTTGAACCTAGAATCTCGAGCTTGCTAGACAAGCGCTCTACCACTTGGGCCATAGCCCCAGGCTTTATTTGCCTTGTCGCTTGCGTTTTTTGCATTTTTGCCTAGATGGCCTCTGAGCTATTCTCCTATCTACAACCTCCTGAGTAACTGCAATGACAAGCTCATATCACCAAGACTGGCTTATTGAGATGGGCTCTCACTGATTTTTTGCTCAGGCTGGCCTCAACTGCTATCCACCTCCAGAGAGGCTGAGATTATAGGCCTGAGCCAGCCAGCTGGGCCTGGAATCATTTTTTGATCGTTTCTTATCCCATGTATCAACCATATTAAATCTACCTTCTAAATACTGTATATCCTAAATCTTACAATTTCTCATCACCTTTATTTCCACCTCCATTGCCAGGGTCATCTCACTGACATGCAAATAGAGTAACTGCCTTTTTCTTTTTTTTCTTTTTGGCTCCAGCTCTAGCAGCTTTTTTCCATAGGCAAGAAGCTGAAGAAATGCTACAGAAGGCACAGCATTGAAATGGCCATCTCGAATGGTGACAGAGGACTGGTGAGGGAGTGAAGGGGGCCAGAGTGGGGAACCAGAGCATGCCTACCAAAGGCAGCAACTGCTGTTCCACTCTGGCCAACTGTTAGCAGGGAGAAATGTGGGAAGAAGGGTCCAGTGTTGGCAGATCTGATTTTTCAAAGGAAACTGGAAATTTGTATTTTTATGTGAAAAAAAAAATCTCACTTTTATCTGTTTAGCAACCTCTTTCTTCTCTCTTCCACTCCCTGGACCTCCCCTCCGCCTTTCTCTCCCCCTTTCAGACATTCAGGAGGCCAACCCTGTACAAGCCAAACAAAACAAATCCATGGTCCCAATTTAGCCTGCCAGCCATCAGTTTGCAATCTCAGGTCTACATCTTAAACTTCTTTACTACATCATAAACCTTGTGAAAGTAAAGTCTGTGTACTTTAACTCTTTGTTACACTTTCTGATTATTTGTTGTTAATTCAGAAGTTTCCAACCCTGGAAAAGTACATATTTCTGGAGCCTGCATGACTTTACAGCTCCCAGAAGTGCTTATAATCCTACCTTGGAGAATACCTCTTTTTTTTTTTTTCTTCAGAATTGATGTTTGCAGAGTGCTTTGTTGAATATTTCAGAACATAATATTCAACTACATATTAAGCCATAATGTTTGGTTTAAACATTCTATACACTGGAGCCACTCCTCACTTCAAACAACCAATAAATTCCTTCCCCAAACACATTGTTTGCATATATGTAAGAACAATTTGAGATTACAAGAATCCTTTCCATAATGACATTTATAATCCTAAAGCCAACAGTTTTACTTCCTGAACTATGTGCCTACACACTGATCACATCAACCAGAGACTCCAGTCTTTCTGAGTTGCTTTGTGGACTCAGCTTAGGTCTTTAGTTGGAAGAGGACTGGAGACTTTAGCAGCCTTCCAGGAGACTGAGAAATTATCCAGGCCACGAAGGCATAGAAATCAGGGTGCTCCCTAACTATCTTTTGGTGGTACTGGGGGTAGTACTCTGGGCTTCATACTTGCTAGGCAGGTGCTCTACCTCTTGAGCCACTCTGCCAGCCGAGGTATTTTCTCTTTGCCCAGACTGTCTTTGAACCATGATCCTCCTGATCGCTGCCTCCTGAGTAGGTGGGATTACAGGCATGAGACACCTGCGCCAACTCTGCTTACTATCTTTATAGCAGTCAAGAAGAGTCTCAAACAACAAATAATCAGGCTTGCAAGAGCCATAGGAATGGAAAAAAAGAAACCCCTGCTTTTGTCAGTCAACTGGATGGAAAAACAAATGTAGAACAGAATGATCTGAGCACCATAGATGTCATCAGTGAGGCTTTCTCAGTGTAGCACTCACCTGATCAACAGGATCAGGTAATAGCTTCAGTACTCAGTTTTACTTTACTGGTAAAGAAAACTTTTTCTGAATAATTTAGGTCAGTGTTCTCAGCCAGGGGTGACTGTGCCTCCAGAAAACATTTGGCAATTTAAAGATTTTTTTGGTTGTCACAAATAGGATGGTATGAAACCATGAGCCAAAATAAATCTTGGCTTAATCAGTGGAGTGCCTCCCTAACAAATGTGAATCCCTGAATTTAAACCCCAGTACTGCCAATAAATAAATAAATCTTTCCTTTAAGTTGTTTATCTCAGGTATTTGTTACAGTAACAACAATAATAACAACAACAACAAAACTAATACAATGTCTTACCCTCAACTTGAATTTTCCAGATTCAAGTTTATCCAGGAACTGGCTACTTTTCAGGAAAGGTAGGAAAATACATGTAATATCAAGAATTGGAATAACTAATTAAATTCGTATTTTTTAAGTTTTGTTTTTAAATGTAAGGTTATTGAAGCAAATTGGTTTGGATTTGAATATCCCTCATAAATATCTCAATCTCAATTCCATACTTGGCTGTAGCTCACTAGGTTCTCCCTAAATAACTCCCACACATTCAGTGGAACTGAAGAATGTGATGATATTTGGAGGCATCACCCAGCATAGAAACATCAGCAAATGAACATCACAGGGACCTAAAGGGGTCCTGGTAGCCACCTCAAAGACGTCTCACTTCCTCAAACTGTCTTAGAAAGAACTGTCAGAAAAAGAACTGTCTCAGTGTGTATGCCCTCTCCAGGAAGGGTCGACAGATGCAATAAAGCTTCCATCCAAGCTACAGTCCTGGTATAGTCTTCAAATGCCCCTCACACTTATTACTGGAAACAGTGCAAGAACCACAGTGAGCCCCAGGAAAGTTCCAGGAAGAGTGAGGTTGCAAAGAAATGATGAGTAAAAACACACTCCACAGTCCAGAGAGCAAAAAAAAAAAAAAAATCACCTTTACAATTGGTCAGAAGAACTTTCACGCTTGTCTCTAAGAGAGTGAACCAAAGTTCCTTGCCAACTAGCGATTGCACTGAAGCAATTGTATAGACTATCTGGAAGGATTTTTCCAGGAAAATTCTGGTGTCCTAATGTGAAATGTTTCCCTAATAATCCACAGCTAAATCTCTTTATTTTCACAACTCAGAAGTTGCCATGATAGCATGTAGAAAAAGGAAAAGGAAAAGAATGTTTGCTGCCTCCGGTCAAAGCACAAGAATCCGGTGGCCACAGACTCCTGGAAGCTTTAGGGCTGACAGCAGACAATCCACAAGCCCCCTAGAATTCCTGTGCACATGTTGAGTGTATACCTATGTCCAAATTTTCCACAGAAAAAAAAATCCCATAGATTTCATTGGATTCTCAAAAGGTTTCCTGACATCCAGGTGTCTGCAGATGCTTAAGACAGTGGTTGCTTTGCACATGGTGTGCCTCTACTGTTAAGTTATCATCTCTTCTCTTTTTCTAATTAGGAGAGTCCTCTCTGGGGAAGGCAGCTTATTGTGGAGTATAGGAACCTGGCTCGCCTGTCTCCAGCCATCTGCTACATTAAAGACGGCCTCCTATGGCTGGAATCCAAAACACAAAATTGAAAGGGTTGCTTGCACCCAGAGTCATAAAACAAAGAGGCTTTCTAAAGCCGGGCTTGGAGTGAACACTCTTTTTTTTTTCCTGACTTAAACAGCATCTGTTTCTCCTGATGGCAAACACTCCCTAAGTTAACTCCACTAACCTCCGTGGTCTGTGTTCTCAGTTTACATCCTCAGAGACATAGTCTCAAAGGAGCCAAACCACATGTGTACCCCACCACAGCTCCAAAGCAGCAGGTGAAAATCTGGGAGGGTTATGGAGAAGGGAGATAGACAAAAGGTTCACACTCTCTAGGAAGTTCTTAACTGCATAAAGTCTTAATCATGAGAACTCTGAGGCCAGACTTCATGATTTGAACATGAACTGTTTGACTTACTACTTGTGTGACTTTGAACAAGTTTCTTAATCAATCCATGTCTCTGTCTCCTCATCTATAAAATGGAGATAACAGTGCTATCAGCGTAATAGAATTACTGTGAGGATTAAATGTGTATAGACTTGCAAA